TTCCTATCGATTGCCTTAGCGAGCACCTCAGATCGGGACAAGCGTGAGAACCCTTTGGTTTCCAACGCCCCAGAACATGGCAAGCGCGAAAGCACATGGGTTCCTAACGCCCCCGAGCGGGACAAGCGTGAACACATATGGGTTCCTGACGCCCCAGGGCGGGACAAGCATGAAAACACATCGGTTCCTCACGTCCCAAGGTGAAAACACATGGATTCTTAACGCCCCAGAGCGGGACAAGCGTGAAAAGCACGTGGGTTCTCAACTACCCAGAGCGGGACAAGCGTGAAAAGCACGTGGGTTTTTGACGCCCCAGTGCGGGACAAGCGTGAAAGCACGTGGGTTCTTCTGCCCCGCGGTGGAACAAGTGTGAAAAGAGGTTCCTGACGTCCTGGAGCGAACAAGCGTGAACACACGTGGGTTCCTAACGCCCCAGAGCAGGACAAGCGTAAACACACGTGGGTTCCTAATGCTCAAGAGGAGGAAAAGTGTGAACACGCATGGGTTCTTAACGCTCCAGGTCGAGACAAGCGTGAAAATTACATGGGTTCCTGACGCCCCCGAGCGTGACCAGCGTGAAAACACGTGGGTTCCTAATGCCCCAGAGCGGGACAAGCTTGAAAACACGTGGGTTCCCAACGCCCCAGGGCTTGGGGCTCTATTGGCCCGTCTGATGCCTCCGGAGGCCGTCTTGGAGACCTTGCGGGCATTTTCTGGGCGCCTTCCAGCTGTCTTGGAGATTGTTTGTGCCGTCTCTGGGCTCTCTTGGGTCCGTCTTGGGGGGCGTCTTGGGGCCCTCCTTGTCCGTCTTGAAGGCCTCTGAGGCCGTCTTGTGCCGTCAGAAGCCCGACACGGCGAGAACGCGAACATCGTTGTAACATCTGAGTAATTTGCATCAATGCTTTTGGCTTCTTTCGGCACATGTTGGAGGGCCCCTTGGAGCTCTCTTGGGCTGCATCGGAGGTGGGACATCTTGGGACTGTCTGGCTCTGTCTTCCAGGCATCTTGGACCAGCTTGGAGGCATCTTGAGGCCATCTTGGATCCTCTTAGTTAGTTGTCTTAGAGCTTTTCGGATGCAGGAGAGGGCGCTGGAACGCGGAACAAAGGGTGGTGGTGTTCGGACTCCGCGCGCTACGAGGGGGGTGGCGTCGATCCTAGAAGCTCTAAAGAGACCACACCAGACAACAGAAGTATTCTAAAGCGCGCTACCGTGCCGCTGGCACGATGGCGGACTCTGCACATTTCTCGGGAAGACTATTTGTGGTGCGCTCTGTGTATGTTATTTTGATCGTGAGTGTTGCGTTGTATACGGCGCAGCCTACGCGCTGCAACCTATGTTGTGCAGTGTCTACGGTGCAGCCATGTGTCGCTCTGTTTGGGATGCTTTTGACTTCCCGCAAGCAGTGTGCAATGTAGTGCAATATATGTGGTTCAAGCTATGGGGTTAAACCTACGTGGTGCAACGACACATGTATGTAATATAATGTGATATTCCCTGCGGCTGGAAACTGATTCCTGTTCCGAATCTGGGACGGGCGCTCCCCCTGTGCCCGAGCCCCGAGCCAATGATCCCTTTCCTCACAAAGAGGAGCTGGGATCCCTGGGCTTAAATCGGGTGCGTCCCTCTACAGGAGGAGTATTCCAAAGTAGTCAAGAAATGGTCAGGGGACTTTGTTCTGTTGTTTGTATTATAAACAATTGCGAGTATATTTGAGCAGTTCTATTTGTACCTTCAAAATCCGCAAGTCGGAGGACGCGCCCGACCTAGCCCTGGGCTCCTCGGCGCGCGCCCGAGATTCTCCTCCTCCGAGCAGAGACTCGAGGGGCTCCGCTGTGCAGTCGCCCCGAGCTCCCCGACGCGGCGGCGAAGCCCGAGCCCGTCTCCTCGCCGATCCTCGATCCAGGCAGCTCGATGGGCGGCGGGGGCAGGGGATCCGTCGACCACGTGGCCGAAACTGCACCGTGCCCCTGCCCACCACCGACCCAGGTCGTCGTTGTCTTGTTCCTTGTCTTGCCGATCGGCGCGGGCCCTCGCGCTCCCCCCTGCCCCCCCCCCCCCATGGAGTGGATCTTGGCTGTTTTGGGCGCCTGTTTCAGGCAGTTGGAGCCCCCATCATGGACTCGCTGTTGCAAACAGTCGCGCCGAGCAGAGGTCCGGAGCCAAATCCCCCCCCCTCCCCCCCTTCCGCCCACTGTCGAAACGCCGAAAAAGAAAACGCTAACCAACTGAACCCTACAGTGCGAGCGCGGCCGCAAGAAACCCTCGCAAGAAACCCAACCCTGAAAACCCGCGCGCGGGGTGCACTGGAGGGGAAGCCTGGAGCACTCTGAACGCAGCAGCTCCTTCAACGGCCGCGGGAAATCACCGCGCAGCTCGCGGAGCGAAGAAGCCCAGGATGCCCTGACGAAAAGCAGATGGTTTCTTGATGCGTGCCCTACCACCGATGCAGGAAAATCGATGGCTGGCGGCTGGCGGGGCCAGGCCTCGCGGCCCGCGCACCGCGGCGCGCTACCCCGCGAGCGCGCGGTGGGCTTGCTGTCCACCACCGCCGCCACCAGAAGTAGGAGGGAAGGGGGGTCCTCCTCCTCCTCCTCCTCCTCCTCCTCCTCCTCCACCACCACCACCACCTCCTCCTTCCCCCCTCATGGTGGGGTGCCAGAAAGAGCTCGCCGGGCGAGACGCGTCTCCGCGCAGAGGCGCCCCGCCTCTCCACGGGGGGGCCGGCAGGGTGGCGGCGACATCTCCGAGGGCACAGGGAAGGACACGCTCGTCTCAAGTCGGGCCTGTCCTTCTACAGGAGGAATATTCAAAAGTAGTCAGAACATAGTCTGGGGAGGATTGTTGACAATTTGTTTACAACATTTTTCGTCGAAAATCCGCCTGTAGGGGGACATGCCCGACCTAACGCTCGTATCCCGTGGTCCCTGCTCCCCTCGGCGTCAGCCCAGCATACTTGTACTATGTGTGCGTCGCCCCCCCAGGGGCGACGCGCGCACCGAGAATTCTTACCGTGGTTGCGTCGTGGCGGGCGCCTTCTGGCCACACCGCTCGGGAAGCGATATGCTACAAGATGGGTATACTATATGTTTGGGTCGGACGCGCGCCTCCAAAGAGGACGTATAGTACTGGTATGTCTCTGTGCGTCCTATCCCCTCCTCCTCCTCCTCCTCCTCCTCCTCCTCCTCCTCCTCCTCCTCCTCCTCCCCCCCCTTCCTCCTCATCCTCCCTCCTCCTCCTCCTCCTCCTCCCTCCTCCTCCCCCTTGTCCTCCTCCTCCTCCTCCTCCTCCTCCTCCTCATCATCATCATCATCATCATCATCAACATCAACCTCTCCTCCCTCCCTCGCCAGACCCGCCGCCGTGATTCTTTCCAGGACAGGGCTCTGCGGCCCAGGGTGTTCTCTTTGGCTGGCGTGGCTGTGCCAGCCTTCGGCTTGCGTAGGTCAGGCCCCCTACAGGGGGGCCGGAGTAGATGGGGTCGGAGGATCGCGCCGCATCGCCAATGCCTCGCCGATGCGGCTCGATGGGGAGCCTGACTTGCTGCACGTCGACGTCGCCAGTGCATCGCCCACGTCGACGATGCATCGCTGGTGCATCGCCGGTGCATCGCCGATGCATCGCCGATGCATCGCTAATGAATCGGCGATGCGGCGCGATCCGTCGACCCCATCTACTCGGACCCGTGGTGGTGGTAGTTGTGGCGGTGGTGGGTTAAGGTAGTGGTGGCAGTGGCGGTGGTGGTGTGGTGGTTTGTCGTGGTGGTTGTGGTGGTGGTAGTGGTGGTGGTGGTGGCGGGTTGTGGTGGTGGTGGTGGCGGTGGTGGTGGTTGTGGAGGTGGTGGTGGTGGTTTGCGGTGATGGTGGTGGGTTGTGGTGGTGGTTGTGGTAGTGCTTGCTGGTGGTGGTGGTGGTGGTTGTGTGGTGGTTTGTGGTGGTGGTGGTGGGTTGTGGTGGTGGTGGTGGTGGCGGTAGTGGTGGTGGTGGTGGTGGTGGTGGTTGGTGGTGGTTGGTGCGGTGGTGGTGGTGGGTTGTGGTGGTGGCGGTGGTTTGTGGAGGTGGTGCTTATGGTGGTGGTGGTGGTGGTGGTGGTGTGGTGGTTTGTGGTGGTGGTGGTGGTTTGTGGTGGTGGTAGTGGTGGTGGTTGTGGCGGTGGTGGTGGTGGTGTGGTAGATTGTGGTGGTGGTGGTGGTAATGGTGGTGGTGGTGAATGGTGGTGGTGGTGGTGGTTGTGGTGGTGGGGCTGTGGTGGTGGTGGTGGTTGTGTGGTGGGTTGGTTGTCGTGGTGGTGGGGGGTTGAGGTGGCGGTGGTGGTTGTAGTGGTGGTGGTGGTGGTAGTGGTGGTAATCGTCGCTGCGTCCCCGCTGTCGGCGCTGCTGGCCGCCGCTAGCGCCGGCGCTGGCGCGGGGGGGGGGAGGGGGGTTTTGACGCCCCCCCCCTCCGGCTGCCTCTGGTCATCGTCGCTGCGTCCCCGCCGTCTGCGCTGCTGGCGGCCGCCAGCGCCGGCGGGGGGGTTCGGGGGGTGTGGGGTTAGCGGGGAGGGGAGTCCCTCTGGTTCTGATCGACGGCGCCGAGTGTTGGGGGGGGGTCCCGCCCCCCGTTTCGAAACGCGCCGCCGACTGTTCCCAAGGCAAACGCCCGCGAAACGCGCTCTCTCGGAGGTCAAAACATGTGTTTCGCTGCTGCCGCGGATCTAGCGGGGAAGACATACAGTGCAGGGTGGGTCGTCCCATGGCTTGCAACTGGCGCGTTCCGTGGCAAGTCCCTTGGCGCGTCCTTTGGCGCGTCCCCTGGCTGTCGCGTCCCCTGGTACGTCTGCGGCCCGTCCTCTGACGTCCCCTGGCGCTTCTCCCTTGGCCCCCCCCTTTGGCAAGTCCACCGCCACGTGCCCCGGCACGTCCAGTGGCGCGCCCCGTGGCACGTCCCTTGGCTCGTCTCTGACGCGTTGCCTGGCTCGTCCTCTGGCGCTGCCCCTGCCCGTTCCGGGGCGCGTCCCCTCGGGCGTCCCTTGACGCGTTCCGGCACGCCCCCTGGCGTGTCCACTACCACGCCTCCTGGCGCGTCCCGTGGCACGCCCCCTGGCTCGTCTCCGTCGCGTTGCCTGGCTCGTCCTCTGGCGCTTCGCCTGCTCTGTGGTTTCAGGAAGGTGAGCAGAAGCGTACTCCGCTCCTCCCAGCCTCGGCGACGGCCCCTGGGGGCTGAGCGTAGCCGAGAGACCTTTTGTCGCCACCCTTTCGCGACGCGAGGAGTTCGGGCTTCTGCTCGCAGCTATCCCATCGGGTCTCCAGCGGCCGGTCGGGACGATCCTGGCACCCCCGGAGCGCTTCTTTTGGCGCGGCGCAGCTCTCGGAGCGCATGCCGAGGCGGGGAAACCTCCGGGAGCCGGCGAAAAAAACGTCCGCACGCCCCCACCCCCGGAAACGTCCGTGCCTTTCCTCCGCCCTGCCTTCCCTCACCGCGAGCGCGCGCGCGCGCGCGCGCGCCCTGCGGCGGCTGCTCGCCCCCCCCGGAGGACATCGACGCCGCCGAGAGCCGCATCCTGAGTGCCCTGGGCTGGCAGATCTGGTCCCCGTCGCTCCACTCGTGGCTGGCCGCGTTCTTCTCGCGCCTCAGGCCTGGCGTTGTGCTCTCCGCGCCGTGCCGCACGCCAGCCGTGTCCACCGCTGCGGAGTCGTGCCCTGGGATCTCGAGGAGCGGTGGATGTGGACATCTCCCTGCCCGTGTGGGCGGGCAGGTGTCCAGATCCACCGATCCCCGAGTTCCTGCGGGACGACCGCGCGGCAGCGGACATGGACATGTGTTTTGGCGTCGCGCAAACGGGGTTCTGAGGGAAGTGGGTCCTGAGATTTTCCCGGAATGGGGTTGGGCCCAGGGTCCTCTTTTAGTTTCGTCCCCCCCACCCTAGATGGGTCTCTTGTTTTCTCTGGGCACCCTGCGCAGGAACACCTCACCCCTCCTCTCATCAGCTGGCACTGCACACCTTGCACCACACACCTTGCACCACGTAGCTTGCATTACACATTATCCTCTACATAGCTTGCACCACGTACTACGCCACAGCTTGCACCACATAGCGTGTACCACATAGCGTGCACCACAGTTGGCATCGCTTACCCTACGCCACATAGCTCACTCCACAACATTGCTTGCACCACATACCTTGTACCACTTCTCCTACACAGTGTAGCTGATACCACATGCTTTACACCACATGCATTGCATCACAATGTCTGAGCCACGCATGCGGTACCACATAGCTTACACGACACAGCATAGACCGGCCATCGAGTGTGCAGACACTTACCGTTTGGTGTCCACACTGGCAGCCATGCTTCACATCATGTCTGTTGGGACGAAAGAGCGCCCATGATGAAGGCAGGGTGAAGACACCGTCGGGTAGAGATACGTCAGTATCTCTGAGAGCCTTCGGGTCTGGGGTACACCTTAGGCGATGCTTAAGAAAACTTAGTTTTCGGCCATAGTCTCGATTATTCTTAACGTTTCAATCTAAATCCTAAGTTTGTGATAGAAATGTTGGGTTTTTTTATTCAAGATCTGAGACTATGAATTTCTTAACCCATGATTTCTTGAGCATTTCGCAGGGTGTACGTTCCGCTCGCCGCGAGTGGTCCACAGCGCTCCAGAACGCTGTGAGATCTGGAACGATTCGTCCTTGTCTCGGGCCTACCTGGTGAGCACCAGGGTGTCCCGCCCCCGTCTTTTCTGCAAATGTTGTTTTGGAAGAGGCAAAGTGCGTTCTGGATTTTGGATAGGAGTAACTGTCTGTTGCCGTCGATACCTCTCGGGTCTTCTGCTAAGCCACAGAAAACAGGATGTCAGAATCACGGCTTCTCCTGTGAGCGCGGTGGCGGATATGGGTTCAGGTGCTTTTGCATTGCACATTATTGCTAAGACCTTACGGCTGGTGCCGCCGACCCTGGACGACGACCCCCTACGATGGAAGAGGCATTCGGCAAGGTCGGGATCCGACGCACCCAAGAGTCCCCAACAGGCCACACTGACGCCCCCAAGAGGTGCCCATGAAGTTTTTGGGAGCTTTTTCGGAGCCTTGTGGGAGCCGCCTGGGGCTTCCTGGCGGTTCCTTTGGGAGCGCCTGGGGGCCTCGTGGGGGCCTCTCGGGGGCCTCTTTGGCCCAGGGACCCCCTGGGTGATGGTATTCTGACCTGGGACCACCTCCCGGGGACCCCCCCAGGAACTCTCCCTAGTTGCACCACCTGGGATTTCCGCCCCCACGGCGGGGAACGCATCGAAGGGAAGGGGCTTCCCCTCGACGCCATTACGGCATTGCTCAATTTTGCTTAGGCTGTTCCGCTTTGGCTGGCGCGCTTAAGGAAGAAGTCCCAGGGAAGGGGGGGAGCGGCGACGGCGACGGCGGCGACGGCGACGACGACGACGATGAGTCAAACGAAGCATCCTCTCGCACACGCCGACAGGGTCGGCGGATTGTTGTGTCGGTCTTCGCTCACGCACGCGTGCACATACACATACGCATATGTATATTTACATACATTTGTGTATACATATATACGTCTGTATATGGCACATGTGTTTATGATGATTTGCACAGACCCATCTCTACAAGACTGCATTGGCGCTTCGCGCCGTGAACCTTGGTCCATGAGGGGGGGGAGGGCTTGCAGATAGATTGGAATAGGAACACGTACATATTATAATTGCACGGCCTACCCCCCTTGCCAGGGTCCTGGTCAAGCAGCACCTCACGGAGCAGGAGGGCCAGCCGTCTGGGTCTCGAGTGCCCCTCCTCTTCCGCGTCGTCGTCCCCGTCTGTGAGTGAAGCCGAGGGTTATCTCGATGATCCGGGCTTCGCCCTGTGCCGCCAGCCCCTCCGTGCGGAGCTATCTTGGCAATGATTCGGGTCGTCTTTGGGCTCTCGGAAGCGCGACTTTGTCGCCTCGGGAGGCGAACTTGTTCCGACCTCGGGAGTGCGACATTACATTCACTTAGGAGGGACGGCGGCCTCGGGAGCGCGATTTCGGTGAAGCTTACGTTGGATTGCAGCCTCGCGAGCGCGAGCGCGATGCAGTTGGCGAAGGATTTCGTGACCTCGGGAGCGCGACTGCGTCGTGCTTTGTGAGGGACCGTGACCTCGGGGAGCACGAGCGTGACGGGACCGCGATCTACTCTGCAACGGGTTGCGGCCTCGGGAGCGCAACCTCGTTGTGATGTACCATGGGTTGTGGCCTCGGGAGCGCGAAGGCGAAGCTGTTCATTCACGAAGGGGTTCTGGCTGCGGGAGTGCACGTGCGTCGTTACTTGCCACGGCTTGTGGCCTTGTGAGCGCGAGCCATGCCAAGACACATCCTGCTTACCTCCAGGGTGCCCTGAGTTTCTTGGGGGTCGATGGTTCTGCCATGGAAAGCGTGGCGCTCCCACGCCAAAAATCAGTGGACGTCCTGGGGTCTCAGGAGGGTTGGGTCTCTCGTGTAAGTCTGCGGCAAAGTCTCAGAGGCACTCGCGGCTGCAAGCGGCATCTGGTCGTGGAGGTGCGCGTGAGCTTCGATCCTCAGCTTCTCTTCTTCATCCGCGTGGGGAGCGCAGGGTGGTGGCCCGTTCAAGGCCCGGATGGTGTTGCACGCCCCGTCGCCCGAGACGGCCGTGCAGAGGGCGGCACACGGAAGAGCATGTTGCCGCCTCGTTTTTTCTCGTGACGCCGAGAGATCAGGGTTGCCGTTCCTACTTCCCGTGTCTCCCCAAGCCTCCCCTTTCTCCCTGGGGTGTTCAAAGTCAGCATCGGCGCTGGTATATCCGTGGTCAAAATCCGAACTGATCCGGCACAGTCCCGATGATTCCGGTTTTATTTTCGATTCATCCGTCCAGATTTGGGGCTTGTTCTGGGCTGATTTGGCTCAATGGCTGCCCCCGTGCCTGGGCTTGATGGCTTTTTACCGTTCTTGCGATGACCTCCCCACAAGCCTCCCCTCTCGCCCTCCCTCCCTCCCTCCCTTTCTCTCTCTCTCTCTCTCTGTCTCCTCTCCTCCCTCCCCCCTGCGGCTGCCGCTGCCCGTGCCGTCGCAGGAGGAGTCCGAGTTCGGGGCGGTCCTCACGCAGCTCTGGCAGCAGAGCTACACTTGCGGCACCGCATTGGCGACGCCCACTGGTCCCAAACTGCGCCCAGGCCTCATTCGCCACGGAACAGAACAACGTAAAGACGGCGGCCCCCAGACGCCCGTTTTGGGGCAGCGGGCTATCAATTCGCGGACGAAGAGCGGCATCATAGTTTTTTTCCCCGCCGTCGGGGACGCTTGCCCCCGTGCGGCTGCAGAGCTGATACCCCGATGTGCCACCGTAGGAGTATAACAAATTCCTCCGCTCTGGGACAGGCGATCCCGACGGTGGTAAAGTTTATCTTATCTTGTTTTGCATCCGCTAGATGCAGAGCGGCCTTGGGGAATCGATTTGAGAGATCTTGGGGCCTGGGGCTTTCCATTGGGAAAGCAGGTTGTCAGGGGTTGGTTTCTGGGCCCAAATCGGAGGACTGATCTTGGCCTCAGGTTTCGGGGCCTCTCGAAGGCTTTCGGCGGCCCTCGTGACCACACTTGGAGTCGATGCTGGCGAGAGCGCGCTCCAGGACAGGCTCGGGGCCAAGACCTCCGGCGCTGCGACACAAAACAAAGATGTTGGGCGCCTCTCCTCAACGTCGGCGCCTGGGGCGCCCTCGTGTGTCTGCGTGCTTGTGTGCTTGTTGTTGTCCGGCGTGCCGTGCTGCACAGGGTGCCGCCGCAGGGTCATGAGAGTTTGCCCGCGCGGCGTCTGGCCGTAGCCATCGATGCCACGTCTCATCGTCCCGCCCCCCGTGGGCTTTTTCACCGAAGAATGAAAAAAACCCACATAAACAGAAACTGTTGGCGCTCCGCGCGGATTTCTCGGATGCGCGCTGGGCCCCCCCTGGCGGCGCCTCCGGCGCCGCCCCTGGCGCGCTCTACGCGCGCCAGGGAGGGGTGTCCGGCGCGGATCCGAGAAATCAGCGCGGAGCGCCAAAAGTTTATGTTTGTGTGGGTTTTTCTTTTTCCATTTCAGTCGGGACTTCACGCGCTCCACGCTGAACGCTTCTGGGGCGCCCTCGGAGCGCTGAGCCGAGGCACGGCTTGCTGATGCCCCTGCTCCTCAGTATCGTTCCACCGATCCCCATCCCCATCCCGAGCCCCACCATCTCACCACCCCAGTCTGGGATGTACCTCTCGAAGCCCGACGGGAGCAGCCGATATCCCCTCATCCAGGGGGGCAAGCCAGCCAGTTGGGGCCCAGGCCACACCAGTGGGGGTAGGGATCGGTTAGACGATGCTCAGTTTCCGCCCCTCTGCAGGAAGACTCGAGGACCACCTGGGGGGGGGGGGAGGCCGTCCTTGGCCTGGGCCCGTCCCCCGGAGCCTCGGCCAGAGCTCCCTCCATGAGCATGCACGGAAGCAGGGCTCGTTTCGGATCCCCCGCCTCGATTCGGTTCGATCTCGACGGATTCCGATTCCGATGCGATTCGATCTCGGATTCCAATCTGGGCTCCGATTTTTCAATGGAGGCCTGCCAGCCTGTCGATTTCCGCCGATTCGATTTCTCCCGACTCGGCCGCCGATTTCCGCCGATCCGATTCAAGTCGATCGCCGATTCGACTTATCGATTCGATTTTGGGCTCTCCTGCAGAAGGACCTGAGGAACAGCGAGCCATTTCCGAACCTCGAGCAGTATCTCGTTCCGGCGGCTTGCCTGTACGCTGGGATGTGGCGGAGTTTGAAGGACACCCAGGCTTTTTGGCTTCCTGAGCAAAGCGTGCTACGCAGAGTCTTTTCGATATGTCATGCGTGCAGACATGATTCCAGGCGCCGGGGGCCGTCGAGAAACAACTGAGACTCAGCGTGACAGGCTGGCCCCGGGAAAGTGGTTGAGAGCTCTGGGGGCCTGGCGACTCGCAAAGGCGGCTAGTGTGAGGATGCAGCCATCACGGCACGGTATGTTCGCGTCGTGCTGGCGTGGTGGCGACCTTGGCGAGGGCGTTCAGGGTTGACCTCCGCTGGTGGTCCAGAATTGGCTGAGGTCGAAAGTTCCACGCGGTGTCCGAAATCAACGCGAGTCTCTGCCCGATACGAACCTGCCGTAGCAAGCATGGAGTATCTTCGACCTTTCCCAATTTGGCAATTCTCGGCCTCTCGGGGGCCTTCCTGGCTCAGGGACTGTCAAACAAGGACTTGGTATGACAAGCCAGTCCCCAGGAAGGGGTCGAGACTTCTGAAGAGCCACGCCGCGAAAAGGCACGACGTCGGAGGGCTGGGTGTGCTGGGGTGGTCCTCGAGCCGGACGAGTCTGCGAGTGCCCCTGGGGCCCTCGCAGACTGGGGGCGACGGTGGACCGATGCTCGTCAGGCCCGCCTTACTTCATGCTCGCGGCGGCCAGGAGGAGGGAGGAGGAGGAGGAGGAGGAGGAGGAGGAGGAGGAGAAGGAGGAGGAGCAGGAGGAGGAGGAGGAGGAGGAGGAACAGGAGCAGGAGCAGGAGCAGGAGCAGGAGCAGGAGCAGCAGCAGCAGCAGCAGCAGGAGGAGGAGGAGGAGGAGGAGGAGGAGGAGGAGGAGGAGGAGGAGGAGTGCGGTCAGGGGGAGGCCTGAAGCCCCGTGCCCAGACGCCTGCCGCCGTCTTGGCCCCGTTGTCGCCATCGCTCGTCGCTGTCGTTCGTTTTCGTCGCTCGTCGCCTTCGCTCGCGTTCGTCCAGCTCGGCCTCCAGACCCAGACGTCACCCCTGGCCCTGGGGTCCAGCCTGGACAGCTTTTCGAGCCGCGTCTGGCCGTAGCGACGAGGACCTCGAGAGACGTTCAAGACCCCTGGGGGCCATCCAGGCCAGCTCCTCGAGCCGCGTCCGGCCGCGGCGACGAGGAGAGACGTTCAAGAACCTCCGAGACGAGGCCGTCACCGCCGCCGCCGCGGGTGACGCACGTGGCGTCTCGATCGCCGCCGCCGCCGTCGACGACGACAACGACCATGACGACGACCACAACGACGACTACGACGACGACCACGACGACGGTGGCAACGATCACGTCGACCACGGCGACAAATACCATGGCGACGACGCCGCCTCCGCCGCCGCAAGTCGTGCGTTAGATGCTCGTTTTGAGGACCTTCCAGGGCCCCACCTAATGGATCTGTTCGACTTTCGTTCGACCCCAGTTCGACTCAAATTCGACTCGGGCTCGACTCAAGTTCGACTCAAGTTCGACTCAGGCTCGACTCAAGGTCGGCTCACATCGACGGACGTTCGACGCAGCTTCGACGCACGAGTGGAGCGAGTGTCTCCAGAAAGGTCCTCGGAATGAGCATGCAGCGTGCGAGCGACCGAGGTGATGCACGTGGCGTCGCTCGGGCCGCTGGCGCCCCGCAGCCTGGCCGTGGGCCTGCTGGGCCTCGGCTGCGTGCGCGCGGGCGCGCTGCCCCTCCACAGCGCGCGCCCCGCGCGGCTCGGGGCGGCCGAGTGGGAGCAGGCTCGGCCCCCCGCCCGGTCGGGTGTCGTGGGGCGGCCGGCGGCGCGGGTGTCCTCCTCCTCCTCCTCCTCCTCCTCCTCCTCCTCCTCCTCCTCCTCCTCCTCCCTCCTCCCTCCTCCCCCCTCCCTCCCTCCCTCCCTCCCTCCCTCCCTCCCTCGTAGTCCCATAGGGAGCTCCCTACCGTCCACATGCGTCCCCCCACTCACAGTCCCTCCCAGTGCCACCGTCCACATGCGTTCGTGGCCCCATAGGGAGCTCCACCGAAGGCCCCAGTGCCACCGTCCACATGCGTCCCCCCCACTCAGTACAGCGTTTCGTGGCCCCATAGGGAGCTCCACCGAAGGCCCCAGTGCCACCGTCCACATGCGTCCCCCCCACTCAGTACAGCGTTTCGTGGCCCCATAGGGAGCTCCACCGAAGGCCCCAGTGCCACCGTCCACATGCGTCCCCCCCACTCAGTACGCTTCGTGGCCCCATAGGGAGCTCCACCGAAGGCCCCAGTGCCACCGTCCACATGCGTCCCCCCACTCAGTACAGCGTTTCGTGGCCCCATAGGGAGCTCCACCGAAGGCCCCAGTGCCACCGTCCACATGCGTCCCCCCCACTCAGTACAGCGCTTCGTGGCCCCATAGGGAGCTCCACCGAAGGCCCCAGTGCCACCGTCCACATGCGTCCCCCCCACTCAGTACAGCGCTTCGTGGCCCCATAGGGAGCTCCACCGAAGGCCCCAGTGCCACCGTCCCATGCGTCCCCCCACTCAGTACAGCGCTTCGTGGCCCCATAGGGAGCTCCACCGAAGGCCCCAGTGCCACCGTCCACCTGCGTCCCCCCCACTCAGTACAGCGTCTCGTGGCTCCATAGGGAGCCCCACCGAAGGTCACAGTGCTACCGTCCACATGCGTCCCCCTACTCAATACAGCGCTTCGTGGCCACATAGGGAGCTCCAGTGAAGCCCCCAATGGGACCGTCCGAGTGTGTCATGAAACACCCAATTTGGCATTTTCACCCACCCATTACAGCGTTTCGTGGCCCCACAGAGGCCCCAGTGCCACCGTCCGCATGCGTCCCGCACACCCAATGTGGCATTTCCACTCACCCAGTGCAGCGTCTAGTGGCCCTACAGGGAGCTCCACCGAAGGCCCCAGTGGGACCGTCCGCAAGCGTTCCGAAACACCCACTGTGGCATTTTCACCCACCCAGTCCAGAATTTCGTGGCCCCATAGGGAGCTTCACAGTGCCACCGTCCGCATGCGTTCCGAAAACCCAACGTGGCATTTTCACCCACCCAATACAGCGTTTCGTGGCTTTTTTTTGGCCGCAGCGCCACGCCGCAGGTGAGCAGTGCATCGCTGGCTCCGTGGCCAAACCAGCGAAACAATACATTCATATTACAGCAGGGATTTGAATTCATCCAGGCCAACTGTAACCTGATCTTTCTCAGGATGCAGACCACTCTTGAGACGGCGAAGATGTTTCAAACCAGCCGCAGTCGTGTTGGAGCAGGCTTTTCCCAGCTTCATGACCCGAGCACCGCTGCTGTATGACTTGCAACTCACGCACAGGAACAGGTGACTGTTGTCACTGCAAGGAAAGGCGATGACACGGTGGCCGAGCCCGAGGAGCTCGCCCCGATCCAACCTTGAACGGCCGCGGCAGTCTCCCGACACAGGCGGAGCCGAGGACCTGGACCCGATGGGGCAAACTCTACACTGCCAACACGAGCCCACACAGTGTGGGTGGCTTGCAAAGGCGGCGGCTTCTCGACAGGCGGTGGCTGCACCCTCGGCGCCCCTCGAAACTCAAGGCGAGGCCAGAGGGGCAGCAGCTGAGAGCCAGCAGTAGGAACAGCACGAGCAATATGGATGCGTTGGTCTAACTCCGACGCCTCCACAGGTGACAAGGTCGGGTGCTGCCGAGCCCCCTCCTTGGCCGCACTGTCGGCGTAACAGTTGCCGAGGCGACGAAATCTCTCCCCAGAACTCAAACCAACCTCCTCCGCATCCTTGTGCGCATCCACCTTGTGGGGCGCAGTGCGTGAACTCCCGAAAGGATGGCGGGCTTGGAGCACCTGCCCTGAGTACTGTCGCTTCGCACTCATGGCATCCCTGGCTCCCAGGGCTTGGTGCACAACTACATTAGCACAATCAGAGTAGCACACCGGGGGGCCTTAGGCGTAAAGGCCAGCCCAGGCCAATGCCCCGAACTCCGAGCCCCGAGGGGTCTGAGGCCCAGGGGCCCAAAGAGGTCCCTTGAGGGTGCCCAGGCGCTCGCCAGCTTCAGAAACCATGACCACCGCCCAGCCCGCTCGAGACAGCTCACGAATGGTGCTACGGCTACAGGAGCCGTCCATGAAGAGGTGCCCCCCAAAACCGCCCCCTGGAGCCTGAGGCAGACCCGACAGCGAGTGCTCAGGCGCAGGCAACTCCGCCACGTGCCACTCCAAACTAACTCCACCTTCGCAAAGAGGAAGCGGCGCCGTGTCTCCAGGGTGCTTGAAGACCCCAAACAGGAACAGCTCTGGTTCGTAGGCAGGGTTATCCTGGTTCTTCGCGGCCTCTTGGATCCACTGGGGGAGCACCTCGTCCCGCGCGACCTGGAGACGCGGGCAGATGTGGAGCCTGTGGAAGAGCGTGTCCCGCTCCTTCCCGCACAGGCTACACAAATCCGACACTTCATAGCCAGCGGCGGCTGCATCTCCTGCAGTCCAGAATGCGTTGGTGGCCTGGGCCCGAAAAAGACTTTCTTGTTTACTGGTAAACTTACGAGAAGCGATCATACTCTTAACAGCATCCCAGCATAGACGATAACCAGTGCCGTAACGATCCCCCGACTCACGCTCGAGACCCCAGAAAAAAAAAAGCTTCCTTGCAGAACAGCTTAACCAGCTTGGGGGTGGAGAGGGTGAGGGAGATCTCACGACCACAGTCGTCGCGGATAGTGACGAAATTGGGTATAGACCAACCAAGCCTACACAGGGACATCCGAAGGGTGGAAATGGGGCCCCTGACCTTGGCCCAAGACCAATCGTCCTTCGAAAAAACACAATTCCACCCCTCGCGAAGCTCTTTCCAGCTCGAACACCAAGGGAAAGCCCGAGTGTGGCATAGCCGCGCCTCTTTGGCCCAACGGATGATCGGCGCGGTACTGGCCCTCCAGGAGGGGTCGCCCTTCAGAAGACACAGGACCGAAAGCGACCTACCTTGGGCGCGGGGTTCGACGCAAGACGCACTGGCCCGCCTGAGGTCCAAAAGCTCCCGATCCGAAAGACCGAAGACGTCCGGCCCGTAGGCGGCGCCGGCCAAGGGGCCCGCGGCGAAAAGCCGAACGCACTTCCGACCAAGAACGCCCGCATGTCTTCCGAGCCTGCGGGTCTTGCGCAGAGAGGCAGCAATGCGAGACTTGAGCTTGGCCGCGCGGCCTCTGCCAGGGGCGCGCAAAGATCGACTTGCGGTGTAGTCCACACCGAGGTTAGCGAACCTGCCCACATCAGAGCCTACCAAAGGACCCAGGGAAGATAACGACGCAGACGAAACCTCTTTCGAGCTGGAGACCATACCTACTTTCGTCCATGGCAAGCCTGCACACCACAACTTCAGTGACAGCCCTGTGAAGAGCACGAGCTCCCGCCGCGAGCCGCTTGGCAACCACCTTGGAAGTACCAGTGCAGCTATGGCTTAAGTCGTCTATGTACGCGTCAAAATCTGCGCCAATCTCCCTGGGGATGCCGTCGAAGCTCTCCATGGCGAACGCGCGGATGAAGGTGGTCGCAAAGGAGCAGCCCGCAATGAGGCCGCGGTTGACGAAGAGGGGCCCGTCAACGAACCCACCGAGAGTCAAGAACCTGGCAGACGCATGGGCCGAATGGCAAGCCTGGCGATGTGGAGGGGGGAACCAAATTGCTTGCACTTAGCCCATAAGGAACATACATCGATATGCTCGTAGTCATTGCGGAGGTCCCCCCAAAGATGGACGCCGAAACCAGGCCCCTGCTGGAGCCCGACTCGGCCCTGCAGGCCTGCCTCCAGACGACGTCGTTGGCCCCCTGATGGGCCCCCGCAGCCTGGAAGTCCCTGGGATTGCGGTCCTCCCAAAGCTGTCCTCCTCCTCCTCCTCCTCCTCCTCCTCCTCCTTCCCCCCCCCGCCTCCCCCCCCTCTTCCCCCCGCCGTCTGCGGCCGCAGAGGGCGGCGGACGCCGCGCGCGCTGCGAGCTTTGCCCCAGGCCCGATACCAGCTCGGAAAGACCCCAGCCGGACGAAACCCTCCAGCCTCCTCGGCCAGAGGGGCCACGAGAACCCAAGAGAGCTGGAGCGGAAGAGAGCCCGTGGCCTCCATGGCAAACAGCCACAGAGCCATGGTGTGCAGCGCAGTGCCACAAAGAAGCGAGTAGTGCCTGCAGTGGAAACATCCAACGCTCACCGCATTGGCCACCCTGTATTGCATGGACAGCCCACGAAACTCAGAGGGCTCGAGAAGGGGGCTGGGCTCCAGAAGCTCGCCAGGACAGGGGCCACACCGTCGCCGTTCCCCCACATGCTAACAAACTTGTCCGACTCGGCCCTGACCATGGCCAGGGGGTCAGCAATGATGGAACCGTTGGAGGAGAGGGTCGTGGAAGGGGTCCAAGGCTGGGGTTCCTTGCAGACAAGATGGGCTCTTCCCCCCCAGGTCCAGGCCCTTTCTCAGCCAGCCCTTCCAAGCTTCCCTGGACTTGGACGCGGCAGTGACCTTAGCTGACTCGTAGGCCTAATCAACCTCACCGAGCAGCTGACTGAGGTCATCACGGTGACCAACCTCCAAGCCGTTCATCAAGCAATCAAAGCCCGAGTCCCCGCTCTCGCAGGGCCCAGGCGGGTCCTGACTAAGACAATTTTCGAGAGCGTCGAGCTCAACGTGTGGACGAGAAGCGCCAGCCGACCGCATCGGATCGCGCAGGATCCGAGAAGCTAAGCCAGCGCCAGCGGAAAAAGAGCTGCTGCCAGCCCGAGTGCACCCTGGTGGCC